GATCAGGCGGATGGATTCGCAATTCTGGTTGTTGGACAACTCTACATGCAACGCTGCCTTTTCTCCAACAGCTAATTCATTAAAATTTCAATGTTAAAATGCGTTAGTTCACTTAATTAACATGGGTGGTATAGACGCATTCTCAAAAAAATCTTAATAGTGCAGTATTGTTTATCAATAAAGTAAAAATACAGAACAAACCAACCAGAGAAAAAATAATAATTTTAAAAAAATTTCTTTCCCACAATGCTTAACTATTCCCAGTATTGGTTAGGAGGAGAGGAGCCCGTTTCAAGAAACTCTGTTACTGTGCCCCTAAAGGTTGTTTTCTCCCTTGTACACATAGACCGCACCTAACATCGGAGAACTAGTTTACATTATGTCAATGAAAGCTAGACTTCTTTCCCTATGTATATTCTTTGATGCAACTACTCGTTCAGATAATTGCATGAATTATTGAAATAGTTTATTTTAATGACATTGCGCTTATTTTTAGTTACAAAGCAATCTTTTTTCCTGAAAGTTTTTTTTTATTACAATGCACTGTGTGCCAGAAGACCATGATCTTTGGCCAGAAGTCAAAATTACATTTTCAACTAAAATATGTGTAGGCAGTTTTAATATCGCCCAAATTAAGTATTCATAATCATTCCAAACATTATAATTTACTTTTTGGACGGACGAGAGTACAATGTAGTGAAAAATATGTTAAGAAAATTTTTTTTACATGTCACTTTTAAATTTATATTTCAGAAATATATATAGGAATTTCACCTAACTGTTGCATTTTTATCAGAGTAATTAGCCTGAAATTATAGTACAATTTTTCAATTTGTTGGAATAGTTAATACTCTTGACAAACTTATAGTTTATATCTTATCATTTGACGTTTTACAATGTTTGAATCACTTTCGAAACTTAGTTCCAAAAGGTTCCACGTGGTAATTAGCTAAACTTTTTTCTGTTGTCTTCTTTGATGTTTCTTCTTTCGAAAAAAACTGTCCCATTTTGCCCATATTGCAAAAATTGACTAAATATACCGAAAAACAAAAATTATGTTTTTTTTCTTCATGTTTTAGCGTTATTTTGTTACTAGTTCGCGTTATTTTATAATATTACTTTGGAAATATAATTTACTTTTCCTTTTTAATATAAAATTACGAAAATTATTATATTTTCATTGCTATATTTAATTATTTAAGCATACTCTATTATTTTTTTTTATATTTTTGCTCGCCATATTTCAACCGCAATTTTGTTTTTTTGGATATTTTTAGTGTATTTCAAAATTTTAACTTTTAATTCAATTTACCTGCACATGAAAACCCCCAAATTTTGAAACAAATTTTATCGAAATACTAATTTTGGCCACGAAACCTTGGATGCTGACCCACTGTGCAAACGTTAAATTTTTATAGGAAATCGTTGGCAAACCTAATCTTTTGTTAGCCTGTCAGACAAAAATCGAAAATTCTAATCAATATGTATTGAGAACTTAAGTTACTCTCCTTTTCCCTGTTTTAGGGAATTTTCTAACTTGCGCTGTTGTAAATATACTTATTACAATTTAAGATTTGATTTCTAGATTTGATCTATTTGATTTCTAGCTATTTATTTATTTATTTTCGAAATTACAGGCTGTTGCCTTTATAAAAGAGGGAAGAGAAAGCCTTAAAAATGCGACTATTTGATACTAAGTTCCAGGTGAGGAGACAGTGGCTATTATTTTAACAAAAAAATGCTCGAAAAGTCAGAAAAAAGACAAATTTATGAAAAGATAAATTTAAAATTTTTTTTTCCTGCTAAGCTAGTAAGTTGCTCTATATCTAACTATATAACTTGTATACAAATATAAGATTTCGAAAAAAATCATATGAAAATGGTCAAAAGCGATGAATAAATTCATGAAAAAGGCATGGTGACAGATTTTAATTTGTATTAAAACCTTCATTAGCAATATCAAAAAGTGATAATTCAACTTCCTATTCGCATGACGTAATAACATGATGTATCGGAATTTGATTATAATAAAAACTATAGAAAATTGACTAAAATTAATCAGTAAACGACTTCGAATTATTATTGAATGCCTCAAATTAAATATGTCAGAATGATAATTCAAAATTCAATCGTCGCAATCTCATATAAAAAAATACTGGTATTTCAAAATCCGTGAGGAAATGATCAGTAAACGACATGGGTTAGTCGCTATTCAGCGTGTTAGACCAACAACTTCTAGAAAAAAAGTCTCGGCGTGGATCAATTTAGTTCTCAGACATAAAGAACAAAAACTGCGCAGTGGATGAAAAATAAGAACGATGTCACTATGTTCAGGCTACTAACCAGGGAGACTATGGAAATGTGACTCTCCAATTTTGAAATAAACTAGTGCCTTGGTCTGGACAGACACATCGACCTTCCTGTGTTCGATAGAGGTACTCTGACAGGTCAGCGATGCAGGGACGCTATTCTTGCGCCCCATGTGAGACTTTTCCGCACAGCATATGGGCCAAATTTCAACTTTATCTACGATAACGACCCTACACATGGGGCTCAGTTCGGAACGAATACCTCTAACCGGATGACATACAACGATTGACGTGACCTGCGATGTCCCCCGATCTGGATCCCATCGAACGCATATGCGACGCTTTTCAAAGCTCAATTGCTATGCGCTCAAGGCTGCCTTGGTGCATGAGTGGGTCACAGTGATTAATAAGGACCCAGGTAAGAAGTATGAAAAACCGATGAGAGAGTGGTGTAACTGTTAAAGGTGATCATACACGCTATTAGACATGTATTTCTCTGACAGGGTGTCGGTCTGCTTCTGTGCGGTTCAAATGACCAGTTTCGTTATTTAGGATACAGATTTTGCACATTTTTCCTCGTATATGGGTCTAATGTCCAATGATATTTTGGCCAGGTTTGGTTTTATTCTACTTTTCAGTTTTTTCTATTGTAAAAGGAAACTACACCAGTTTATATCCCAAAAAATAAAATTCGAACAAAATGGGTCTAATACTTTCTAACAAATAGAATTCTAAGTAAGATTTTTTTTAAATTCTATCTAGAGAAGAAGGCTAGCTTCCATAGGCATTATCTAAATCACTTTCCCAAGGGTTGGGAGACGGGATCTGTGTATAAAGGAGAAGACAGCATTTAGGGGTACAAGCGATGAAGATCTTCTTGAAACAGGTTTGCGGCCACCTCTCCCAACCGCAGCTGAGATCGGGATCAGGAGGAATGCTTTCGAGTCACTTAAATAATTCCCAAAATGCAACGAAATACGCAAAAAGTTAAATTACCATAAAGGGATCCAAACTTTCGATCGCAAAGAATCCGAATTCGACGGAAAAAAATTTACGTTTTTGTGTCTGATTTCGTAACTTAAATGGTTATCTCGTAACTTAAAATATTGTCTATACTAATTCTGCGAAGGATAATAATGAATCTAAAGGTGAAAGAAGTTAAACGTTTTTGATATGTTCATCAGTCAGCGATGAACGATGTGTTTTTAGTAACGTTGATTAGCATTAGTTAAGTAACAAATATTCATAAAAAGAAAGCATGTAAGAAAAATTTATTTACAAACGTTAAATGAAATTTTCATTTTCTTGACATTATTCAACGCTGTTTACGGTGCTGGAAAACAAGTATAAAGTCGAGCTGAAAGTCACCGAACACCGCTGTTAAAGCTGAATATGCAAATATAGCGTCTAATTACTTAGCATGACAATTTTTTTTTATTCCGTATGAATGGTAGACTGAATTTAAACAGTAAAAAGCTCCCTAAAACCGGAAGAAATTTAGGAAACTTCCGGTGTATCCCTCCGCTTATGTATTGCTTACGAGACGATGTGTGAACAGGCTTGGTATTCTAGGAAGTTATATTATTGCGATTTGTATTTAAATTTACGCGTAAAATTTTACCATTCATGAGAGTTTTCTGTCGTTTATAAATTCAAACAGGTCTTGAGCTCCTGAAACGACTTTTAAAAAATTTATATCTCAACATAAATAACGTGTAAGAGTAGCCATGTTGTGAGTGTTATCCCTTATTTGGTTATATTTGTGTGAAATAGCACCGTTTGTTATTTTTTAGATAGCATTATTGATGGCTTAAGTAGTTTTCCAAATTTATTTGTTTCATTGACAGTTAGGTTGAAAGAACGCGTTATATTGAAAACACCACTAATATAATACTAAATGGTGCATTTGTTTTTCAACTTTAGGCGAGAAAAACAGTCGGAAGTATTGTGTTTCGTTGTTGTCGGAAGTTGAGATTTCTAGAATAATCTAGCGACGAATTTTAACCTCCTAGTGCCTTCTGCAGTTAACTTTTCATGGTCAGCAATTCATATTGTTAAAATTATGGCTAATTTGGCATAATCATTGAAACTCAAGTTGGAAGAAAAGTATTAAGTCGATAAAATTTTAGATTTTAAAGAAATGGTCTTCAGTGGTTCATAAATTGCCTAAATTAGTCCTAAAAGCTATGACAATAAACAGCGCATTAGAAGGGCAAAAAAATCATCAAAGCAAGAAAGACGAATCAGGAAGCTTGTTTGTTTCGGTAAGATGTCATCTGTCCAACTTCAAAAATTAAATGCAATTACCATATAGAAGCAGCTCGGTTTAACTGATCATCTGAATATTAAATTTATAAATATCAAGGAAAACTCCGCTTACTAAATGACACGAAGATGCTCGTTCAGCATTTGCAAGGAAACATCTTGGAGTACGATTTGGGGTGATGTGGTCTTTTCTGATGAAAAGAAACTTAACTATACAGATCAGATGGTATTATTTAATAACCGTCGTTGAACAGCCGACCCAATTTTCGGGTTTTCCACTACTAATGTTCAACACCGTAGCCTTGACATGTTGAACCCAACCCAGAAGACAAGGAAACTCCTGGATCAAGGATTTAGAGAAATTTGCCTTCGTGGAGGACTTCTTGATGAAACTAACCAGTATTTTTTTTACAGGCAGAGGTAGACCACAAGAACCTCCCACGGTTAGTCTGGCTGCAAAGGGCTCTAACCCGTGATTTGTACCACTGAGGATATTTTAATTCAGCACTGTGGTCGGTGCAAGCTGGATGCAGATTGGTATCGACCAGCCATCGCAGGGATTCGAACCCAGTTCACCTCATTGGAAGGCGAACTCTCTATCACCTGAGCCATCGTGACTCTATGTATAAGGTTAGATATGATTTGAATGTTATCCCTTATTTGGCTATATTTGTGTAAAATAGCACAGTTTGTTATTTTTTTAGGTAGTATTATAGCAGGCTTGATTAGTTTCTCGAGTTTGTTATTTGTTTCATTGACGCTTAAGTTGAAAGAACGTGTTATACCGAAAACACTACAAGTATGATAATAATGAATGGTACTTTTTTTTCTAGCTTTGGCGTAAAAGACAGAAGTTGTAAACCGGAAGTCGTACTACGAATTTTAACCCCCTAGCGACATCCATATTATTAAAACTCCTTCGAAATAAGCATAGTCATCGAAAAACAATGTGGAAAAAAGTTCAATGAAATTTTAGGTTTTAAGGAAATGATCTTGAGTGAATGTCAAAAAATCAGAATATTATAAGCCTACAGTAAATAGCTATCTCAGGAATCAAGGCCGGATTTACGTATAAGCTAAATAAGCTGTAGCTTGGGGCCCCGAGATGAGAAGGGCCCCCAGATCCTACTTTCCCCCCTCTTTTTTTTAATGTTTTATTCGGCCCTCAGAAGCCGAAAATGCATTTTTTTTTCTTTTTTACATTGTCGGACATAATAAATATAAATAAATGACTGAATAAAACAAAAAACTTCGCTGTCATTAGTAGGGAACATATCATCGTACAAGCAATTTGAGTATTAATAAATTTTTTATAAATAAACAATTTTTTAGTTTAAAAGGTGAAAAAGTTTTTTTTTGCCCCATCATTCGATCATCAGACTATTTAATATCAGTTTCTAAGGATCAGAATTCCCTTTTATTTTACTTTAAAATTGTACAAATGATATATTTAATGCTTTCATGTGATATGCAGCAGTTTTAAATAGCACTTTAAAATATCTAAAAAAGGACAGAAATAATCAGTTCAAACAAAAATTAACTAATACTTTTGAATAAGAATTTAAATAACTACGCACGTTTGTTTTGTTATCTCATTCTATATATCATTATTTAGAGTAGACAGTTGCGCGTTGGTGTGATGATGACGTAATGAAAGAGGCATACAAAAAAAAGGAAATTTCATTTCAGTTAAAATCCTCAATATTATATTTTTAAACTCCTCGAAAATGTAGTAAAAGAAGTATACAAATTAAATGTTGCAAACAAATTTATATTAAGTAAGAACGAAACAAAAATGATATCGGAATATGCTGAATCACTAATGAGACCGGGATGAAAGAAATCGATATCTATTTGATTGAATAGTATAACTAGAAGATGTTTCTAAAATTCTGAAATCTATCAGGCTTTAATTTTTTTTTCTGTCACAAACTTAATCAGTAATTAAAAATAATAAATTCGTTAGATTTCAATATTGGTTCTGTTTTTTCGTTGATTAAATGTTAAACATTAACAAATAGTTGTCTTTTAAAACATTTCATTCTATAATAAGATAATTATTCAACAATTGTAATTATCTAAAACTAATTGATAATTGATATAAAGCTTTAGTGTGTTCCATTGATATGTTGAATGCTCATTTTGGCTAGATGCCGGGACTAATGCTCTTTCGCATCCTAGCCACTATACACCATCAAGAGCAGAGCTTATACTTTAAACCCGTATGACATTTATTCTCTCTGATATTTAATAGACCCTTTAATAAATCCTTAAAAATATAATCCAAAAATTTACATAAACAATGAAAAAAAAATTTTCTTCTACTAAAATTTAACAAATATACTTAAAATAATTGAAAAGAAAGCAAAAATAATGAAGAAATATTTTCAATATAAACATCAGTTAAATAATATCAGCTTACGAAATGTTTTTTTTTATTTTTCCAAACAGTATTAATATAACGGCCCTCACCTGCTCCAGGGACTGCTGGGTTGGGTTCAAAATGACAAGGCTACTGAGTAGTAGTCGTAAACTCGAAATTGGGTCTGCTGTGCAATGACTGTTATAAAATAAACTAATAAATTTGGCCGGGATAGCCTGGTTGATAAGGCGTTGGACTTGTGTCCGTGAGAATGGGAGTCTGAATCCAACCGGCGGAAGAATACCCATGTATAAAATGGTGACTGGTGCATGTTAAATCTGTCAGGGTCACAAAGTCCTCCAAGTTTTCATAACAAATAAATACGTCTGGGTACAAATCTAGCAGTTCCCTTGTCTTCTGGATTGGGTTCAAAATTACAAGGCTACGGAGTTGAACATTAGTAGTCGTAAACTCGAAATTGGGTCGGCTGTGCAATGACTGTTATAAAATAAACTAATAAATTTGACTGGCATATCCTGGTTGATAGGGCGTTGGACTCGTGTTCGTGAGAATGGGAGTTTGAATCCAGCCGGCAGAAGAATACCCATGTTTAAAATGGTGACTGGTGCATGTTAAATCTGTCAGGGCGGGGGCCGGGATAGCCTGGTCGGTAGGGCGCTGGGCCCATATCCAAGAGGTCGTGGGTTCGATCCTCGCCGGCCGAAAACTCCCCGTATAGTAAATGGTGACTGATGCACGTTAAATCAGTCGAGTCTCAAAGTCCTCCATGTTCCCACAACAAATCAATACCTCTGGGGGTACTGATCCAGGAGTTTCCTTGTCTTCTGGATTGGTTCAAAATTACAAGACTACGGAGTTGAACGTTAGTAGTCGTAAACCCATGAACTTAGGTCGGCTGTTCAACGACGGTTATAAAATATAAAATAAAATAAAATCTGTCAGGGTCACAATAAATACCTCTGGGTACAAATCTAGCAGTTCCCTTGTCTTCTGGATTGGGTTCAAAATTACAAGGCGAAGGAGTTGAATATTAGTAGTCGTAAACTCGAAATTGGGTCGGCTGTGCAATGATTGTTATAAAATAAACTAATAAATTTGGCCGGGATAGCCTGGTTGATAGGGCGTAAACTCAAAATTGAGCCGGTTGTTCAACGGTGGTTATAAAAATGATAAAACTAATAATAAAATTGTATTTTCTTGTTTTCTTTGCATATTTTCTACGCACATTCAAAATTTCATGTTTCTAAGTCTCATAGATTTTGTAACGTAAAAAAAAAAAACAATTGAGAAAAAAATTCGCGAAAAAATCATTAAGAATTGCAAATAAAATATATTCAAAATGAATCTAAAAAAAAAAAAACTCTGTTAAATATATAGTAGCCCAGCACGTCAAATTTTTACTCTGTGCTTAAAATATGTTTCTTTTGTAACTTTTTCCCCTCGTTCAAAAAATGTGTGCAATAAAAGAAAGGTTCTACATAATAGTCTCATCACAATTTATATATTTAACAATAGAGTAATGTTATCAAATTTTTTAATAATATAATCTTAATACTCAACAATAAAAAATAGTGACAGTTTACTTTAGGTGTATAGAAATGGAATTGAATTTATAAGGGCCCGATCATTTTCAGTAGCTTAGGGCCCCACCCAGCTTAAATCCGGCCCTGTCAGGATTCCTGAAAGCTATGGCAGTAAATAGCGTATTGAAGGAGGGGGGGAAATCAGCAAATCAAGAAATTCGAATCTGGAAGCTTGCTTGTCTCGGTGAGATGACATCTGCACAAATTAAAAATCAAATGCAATTACCAAGCAGAAGCCGCTCGGTTTAAGTAATAATCCAAACATTTAATTTGAAAATGTCAAGGAAAACTCAGATTTCTAGATGACACGAAAATGCTCGTTTAGCTTATTGCAAAGAAATACCTTAGAATTTACGAATAGGAGGAGTGAAGTGGTCTATTCTGATGAAAAAATAAGTTTAGATAGATCAGATGGCTGTCAATATTTTTGGTAACGCGGCACTCCATACTTAATACTCAACTTACTTGAGTAATGTGTAATGCATTTGGAAATTCATTTCATTCTGCTATTGTTCTTATTACGTCATAACCTATCACTATATTGCACACGTAGAAAGAATAGAATTTACTCTGGCGTAGAATAGGTTTATTATTAAACATCCAAAATACACAAAACTGCCTTTTCCACTTGACATTCAGGAATTTGTATACAGTGTAATCAGGAAACAGAAATGATGTAAGAATGAGAATATTCTAGAACATTCTATAAATAATAACTAAAATCTTATTGGAAATCGGGAGAACTTGGAGAATCGAACTCAGGACCTCCGATTTGCCAGGGTAGTGTTTTTAGCCACTCGGCCATGCCGGCACATTCCGTTTCAATATTATAAAATAAAATGATATAAATCCTTTAATCTTAAGTAGTGTCACTTTCTTCAGTGACTTTATACTTTTTTTTCATCACTGTAGTGTGTCACTCAGAATTCCGCTGCGTGATATTTGTCTTCCCTGAGTTAATCCATCAAAATTGAGTCCCGTAGTAGGACTGATCGTAAAAACACGGTTCTCAGTAGAACACCCAAGTCAGGCATCACTAGCTGGCATCAGTAAGAGGGTGAGAGACCACTTTGATCAGCCTGCGTAGAGACCGAGAATGCGCTGTATCGGTTCTCGTTAAACTGGTCTATCGTAAAATGCTCCACTTCGCGAGCAGTTCGTCGGGTGACCAAATCAGTGGAGCCATCCCCTATGCAGAGGATCAAAATTGTGATGGCATGTCTTATTGCAGTGATTCTCAAAGCAGCATGATTTATGAGTCCATGTTGTGCATAATCTTTTTTATTTAGTAGCGACGGTGAAATAGCAGTTTAACTCCTCTCCAAGCGGGAGAGGGGAAACACATATCCCGTCTAAATAGACGTAGTTTTGTTAGGCATTATAAACAACAAAAAGCCACGCCAAAAACATTGTTCCTGCGTTATATAGGATGATTAAAAGTTGTGAAGAGGCCAGTCATTATTGCCTTTTTTTGTATTCTTACGCCTCATCAATTTATTTATCACTCATAGCAAATCGTTTAATCTTTCCTTATATGGAAGTGAAAGATCTTAAAATAACTACTCTTTTGAAGTATAAATCTAATTATTATTCATCTAATTATTATTCATTCTAATTATTTTTAGCCTTGAAGTCCCAAAATAGAATTTCTACCCTTATCCTTTACCAAAGATATTTTATGAAAACGAATGAAGTTTTAATGCTTTTATTAATACAAAAGTATTTAATTTTTGTATTACATATATATATACATACATCTTTATCGGCGAACATCTTTGTCGGCGATTGTCTTGTTTCTGACAATCTTAAAAATAAGATGGAAGTGTTTAAATTGTATATAACACACAATTTTAAAACATTTTGTAAGAGCTAATCATTAAAGTAAGCTATGCAATTAATAAACAAATTAGCAAAGGATAACTAAAAAAACAAATATACAAAAAAAAAAATTGACTAAGGATAGCCAACAAAAATTAAGCTAACAATTAACTAGTTGTTTTGCTAGTTACTAACAAGAAATCCCAAAAAATTACATTTAATGTAAAAAAAAACCAACAGTTAATAACTATTGAAAACAAGCTAACAATTAATAACTAGCAAAAAATAAATAACTGTTACTAACTAATAAAAAATTGGTCGAAAGAAATAATTAATCCCTTAATAAATGTGCTTTTGTAGTACATATTATTTTATTTCACATTCGAAATTATTATCACACACAGTGTAAAATAGGTAATTAAACAACTTTTAATCCAATTTTTTTCATTTTGTGCCAACAAATTTCGAAATCGTTAAAAGATTGAGAATCACTGTCTTAATGGATGTCTTATTCCTCAGGGGTGTTTCTCAAACCATCGCCAATAGCCCATTGTGCTGCTCTACTTCGACTTAAGTAAAGTACTTACCTATTTAGCAATTTTTTTATAACATATTCAAATTTTATAGCAATTGGCTTAGTTTTGGGAGAGTTATTGCTGCTTTTGTTAATTTTTCCTTAATTTATGATAGCCAGTATTATTATGGAATAAATTATAATTATGGAGAATGATACTTTTGAAGAAATTTTACTCAGTTAACAGCGTTAATTCTTTCACTTACGATATTACGAGAGGGGCGTTAATTCTTTCACTTAAATTATTTCACTTACGTTATTGGTAACAGTGCAGGAATTGTTAATACAATCATGTTATTAGAGAAATATGAGTTTTTGAAAACGCACCACCTTACTGGATTCTGTTATGGTGTTGTAACTTTTTTTTTTCTTCATAAAAAATCCTATGTTAGAAAGGTTTTCAAGATTTAAATACCATATAAATAAACAAAAGTTTAAATTTTCTTGGTACCAAGGACTTTTTTTTTCATGTTCTGGTATTTATGAAATAAATAAATGAATGAGAAAGAAGTTATAACCAAAACCAAGTTTAGAGAATTTATTTACGGTAAAACCAAAAAAACAGATATTTGAATTTCGCCCCATTTATTAAATCGTTCTAGGAAATTATTCACCCATCAAAAAATGTTGTTAGCTAACCCGCTTAAAAAATTTGTGGTTAGGAGAAATTTTAGCTAACTTCTGAGCTACAAACCAAAAACTTCAATTTTTTCACAAGCATTAATCTATATTACGAGACCATTAGCCCAATGAGCAACGATGAATTTTTTTCTGAAAACGTTTTAGTTTATATGATCTAGCATTTACACAAGTTTGAATTTTACTTTAAAACGTATGTTTTCTTCTCAACGAAAAATTTTAATTACTTCAACCGCATATAAAAAGTAATAAATGAAACGAGTTTTACCACAAGTTTTGAATTACCCTTCAAATAATATTGAAAATCGTTAGAGCAACAAAATCAGTCATTGCTAATTTTCAAACATAAGAGTAAGTAGTTATAAAAAAGCCATAATTCTTTTGAGAACAGTTTCAATTTAAATAACTGTAGTTATAAAAGTTATGAAAAGATATTAAAAATGCACTTTTTTTTACAGGGTCTGTCACAAGAGAAGTCAAATCTGTGGAAAAGTTTGATACGTTGCCAACTTAAATAAAGAATGTAATAAGAAGTGATCAGAAAAAATTGTAGTATTTAATGCGAAATTAATGGATTTGAGGTGAAAGTAGACATCTTGGATAACATCTTCCTCAACATTGGTGACCGCACGGGATATGATCACGCTTACTTCGATGGACGGTTAGCATTGAACAGTTGACTTGCTATTTGCGACTGCGTCATCGGCTTCATCACGCTGTTGCTTATTGGTCTCATTTACACACAACGGAAATCTACACACCCTCGACTGCTTACAGCAATACAGAAGTGAGCATTCGCAATCAAGAACTTAATACAGCTCTCACGACAAACGCACTAAGCTTGAACTTAATACAGCTCTCCCCATAAGTACTAAAAATTCTGTGAACTTAACACAGCTCTCCCGGTCTTTAGCAAATACGGCAACTAGTGGTATGTGTTCATCGAATTGTATCCCTGAAATAATTCTGGTGGGGGACTATTGTGGCTTAACTACCACTTCAATTATTCCATATCAATACACCAGTATGTAAGACGTGTTAACTCGATTCTATCTAGGGTACCTTTTGATAGATTAAGTTGCCATCGTCGATAACATTATCCCCCGCAGATTAATGCATGAAAACAGTAATTTTTACCTCTGCAATCAGGAAATGACTTAATGTGATTTGATTATTATTCATGTCCATCCCTGGTAAAGGAATGCCCAAGTCAGGTTCAGGATATCATATTGCTTTAACAGCTCCACTAGTCCACCTTACTTCACAAGCAGTTTGGCTGAGACACCCATACAATTCATGATATTAGCAGAAGAAGCAGGCTCAAAGTCAAGGTGAAAGGTTCTTTCCCCTGTTGACAAAGTTCAAACATTTAATGTGGCCGCATCATAACCTGACCAGGCCATTGCAGTTTGGGAAAGTCATCATATTGGTTTCATGTTCGCTAAAACTTTAGTTTGTCTGGCTCGGCCCAGGCTTAGATTTCATTGAGACCAAGACAAGGGAGATGAGCCTGTAGGATTCAGGCAATCTTAGATGTCTCTTTAGTTTACCAATAAGGGCGACCTCGTTATTTAATTTTCTATTATTTTTGGAAAAGTTCCCGTTTTCAGACATTTATTGAAGAACTCCAGTAGCCGATGACGATTGATCCAGAAGATATCTACGAGAATGTCCGCCCGGCGCCTTACTTTGATTTTAGAGTTAATCCATTGTGAATGAAGGACCATTATTTGCCAAGTTGCCTCACTAGTACATGTTCGAAATCAACCTCCGGAAAATGATGTGACGTAATATTTTCAACAGTGCCCACTAAACCTATTAGTAGTAGAATCATCCTGCTTAGTTTGGACTCTGTCTCAAGCACTGTCATTTGGTATAGAGAAGATTAGTCGATTGCAAACCATGTTTAAAGACAAGTTCTGAAGCATACTTTTAGGAAATCTTCTTTTACTGTCTTATGCTCTATATGTTAGTAATACGATGAACACAAAAAATAAGCTGCACCAATGTATAATAGTATTCTTATTATTGACAAGAAAAAGCTCAACGTTAAATCAACATACCTCTTTAGGTCAAGCTTCCTGATTACTATAACAGATCTTATACTTGTATTTTTTTTACTATGAATATGCTAAGCCAGTGATGTAATTAAAAATTTATTTTGTGTGTGTTTCATTTTTACAACAGAAGAATAACGTTTTAGCAGAATAGTAAAGTAATTGGGTTACTTTTAGATATATTTATTAAAGTTAGACTCAGCTGTAAAATTTAATTCACAAACAATTGGTAAAGGGGACAGTTTATGGCGGATATATATATCTTCTCTAAAAAGAGGTGACAGCTTAAGAGTAATATATGCAATATCAGCAAGCTAATGCTGAAAACAACAGTTAAAATTAGAAATGGTGAATCAACTAAATTCAAAGGAATAAATACGATATATGTAAAATTATCTCAGACCAAATTTGCTTTCAGCAAATAAATAGTTCAAGAATAAACAGAGACATCAGTGGTTTGTTAACTGGAGTCTATTTAGCCAGGTTATATTTTGTTAAAAGAACTAGATTAATTTTAAATCACCGTTTTTAGTAAACCAGCGGGTGACCGAGCTCCGCTCGAAGAAAACAGGTATCGAAGCTGACTCGAAGATTTAAATTTTCAATTGTGATTTATCAAAACAATACATGCCATAAGAAAATTTGTGAAACCATTGGTGAAAAGATAACCGGTTAAAGTGCACACTATNTAGTATAAGATTTTAAAAAACAGATTAGTACTAAAATTTATTACAGATTAGTACAAATTCTGTAACAATTTCTAATGCTTATACTTTTATGCAACAGAGGCAAAGGTCTTAGGTTCAAAACAAAATTAATTTCACCAACGTCTCATTAATTTTAATGTGAACTATATTATATTACACAATGTTACCCCTCTCAAGGACTGCTTAGTTCCTCCCTGGTAACAAAAATTAAATGAACTCCAGCAATAATCATATTATAGATGATGAAAGCAGTGTTGTAGACTGAAAAACCCTGAGTGAGAAATTCGGTGAAAATATAAAGGATTCAGTATTAGATCAAGTACTAATTAATAATTGTGCCTTCCAGTACTTATAATTCAATCATGGTGCGTAGAGTTTTTATAGGTGCTTTTTATTGAGTGGCATTAAAAAGTGCTTATTTTTCCCTTTTCGAAAATGAGATTTTTTTTTCTTTACAGTGTATTTTTGCCAGGTAATTTGCAAAAGCGTGATTTCTATATTTTTCTTTTCAATGTTTTTGTACATTTCATACAACCAAAATCCATTTCGGCGTACCGTGGGTCTATGGCTTATGAAAGCGCCAATCATTTTACTTGATTAATGAAAAACTTGCGAGTCTGCATGTGCGTCTACTGTGGTGAGTTTATTGCACTTTCAAGTGCAACTCTTCTGCATTTCGCAAGTTATTCTCCATTTCAGGCTTCATTTTCCACCCTCTGATAACGAACCGAAAAACCTCTTGATCTTTTTATTATATCTAATAGAAAAGAGTTATTTGTCAGAAACTAGTTATTTTTGTCATGATCATGTAAAGTCTTTGAAAACTATTTAGTTAATGTATATAGTGCTTAAAATTTACTCTAAAGGTGCTTATTTTTTGTTGAAAGTTTTGACTACGCACCCTGATGGTGGTAGGTTAGACAGCCATTAGAATTATTTTGGTTTGATCAATTGCGGGATACAATACTAATCAAATAACGCTAGGTGCAAGAATTTATTAAATAATGATACATGCATAGATCAAATATACACTGTATTAATCATCTTCGAGTAAGGCTAGAAAAATATGAGGTTCGAGTCGAGATTGGGTTCAAAAACTATTCAAATTAAAGGAAGGTCAGGTATCGATTAAAACAATAGTAAATTTCCATTTTTAAAAAGTCTGGTGGTTGAAAATTAATCAAGTTACAACAGGCTCTAGTGCCGATATATATGTGATTAATACTAGTGAATTTAAATCGTCGCAAAGGTGGGTAGAGTTATAAATATTACAGCAGCTTGATGTATCGAAAGAAAGATAAATGATTTAATTTTTAAAAAAAGGTTCAAATACTGTTTTAATATTAGTGGATTAACCAATAGACAAAAATATAATTCCATCATGGGTCAAGATAGATTGATTTTTAGTAACTTATCAAATTATAGCAAGCTGGGATATCTATAGAAAAATATTGATTAATCAAAAGGCTAATTTTATCAATACTCGAACTATCAGGAGAATTATTTTCGTGCCCACTATATTTCTATAGGAGCCTAATTCTGCTATGATTTACTCAATCCCATTTTGAATCCACTACTCTTCTCTAGGTGCTTCAACCTGCTATAACTTCATTTTTCAAAACTGGTTTCTTTTGTTCAATACTCGAACCTAATAACTTTTCTTCGGTACCAAATCCCTCTACTATTTGACCAAATTTTGAACCATTTTCTAAAAATCTCCAACCCATTCTCTGGGACCCGCTGTAATTTGATCAGTTTTTAAAAGTAGTTTCTAAACCAATGCTCAAACTCGCCATCTTTTTCTGGAACACGAATGGGCTATTGTTAAAACAATTTTCGAATCCATTCTCGTTTGATCAAAACTTGTAATCGCCAACTTTCTGTGGATCCTAGAACTCGCAATTATTTGATCAGCTATCAAAATCGGTCTCTAATTCAGTACTCGAACTATCGGTATTCGAAACTGTCAAATCCACTATATTTTTATCGGTATGCGAAACTACTATAAATTCATCAATTTCAAAATAACTAATTTTCTAACCCACTTTTTATTGTCACTCAAACCCCTAGCATTCAACAGTTTTTGATTCTATCTTTTTAACCCGCTATTTGTAGAGTTTTCGTACCTATTTATTTTTTTTTATCACGACAAGATTGCTATTGGGTGAGTTTTTATAACAGGTTTTTTATACTAGTATTTTTAAATCGGTATGCGACTTATTTATTGGAACAGTATTCAAAACCACTATTTTGATAAATACTTGAACCCACTTTCTTTCTTAAAACAGCTAGCATTTGAGCCCACTGTTATTTGATCAAGACTCGAACCTACTACCTTTCGCTTGGTACTTTAAACTGCTATTTTTTGTCAAATTTCAGAACCAATCTTTTTTTACAAATACTTGGACGAACAAAATTTTTATCGGTACTCGAATTGACTATCATTAAAAAGTTTCGAACCCACTCTCTTTTGATTGATACCTGCTGAACCCTCTAGCATTTGAACAGTTTCCGAACTCTTTTTTTAATCGAACTGTAGAATTGTTTTCGAGCGTTTATTTTGATCAAGTGAACACTTCTACTTTATCGGTACTCCAAACTGCCATTATTTGATAACCCGTCTCTTTTGATCAGTGTGCGAATCCTCTATTTTTTTTAAATCTATACTCAAACCTGCTATTACTGGACCAACTGTTATAACCAGCCTTTCAATAAAACATTCGAACCCACTATGTTTCTATCAGTATTCGAAGAGGCTATTATTTTATCAGTTTCCAAAAACAGGGTTTTTCAATCAACATTCACACCCAATTCTCTTATTATTACACGAAACCCCTACCTATCTGGTTAGAACCTGCTATAATTTGAATAGTATTTTCATGCACTCTTTTTTTTAAAAAAAAACAAGTACTTGACCCTGCAATAAATAATATGGTCATTTTACCCGAGTGAATATGGCTGGTACCCGAACCAGCGATAATTTAAGAAACAGCACAAAATAAACAATGTGAACGAAAACTGTTCCAATGCTAGCAAATTCCTGTATCATTTTTGAAAAAAATGGTAGGTTCTAGTATTGATTAAAAGGGGCAGTGGTGGACTGCCTTCAGTAATTACCCCAATTATAACCCCCACCCCTTCCGCCACTGAAAAACAGGAACAATCGCACCCCCACTGCCTAAACAGGCATACGACAAAAAAAAATCCATCATTCCCTGATAGAAAGTGCTACTTTAATACTATGATGGCATATGCTACTTTAATATTAATACCATCGAGAGAAGTTTGATTTTAATGGACCATCAATTCGTGATGGTTCCAACTATATATTTCCATGATGTTATATTGGGAAATCTTGATGGATCTCTGAAAACCATCAAAACAATTTTGCTTGTTTTTTATATTAGACCATCATACATCAATCCGAATTCTTTCATTGAGATTATGGTTTTTCATGATCGTCACAACATTTGATTTCTAAGAAACTATGATGCAAATTATTGATGGTTCAACTTGAACGAACCATCAAAACAAGTTGATAAACATGCATTGTAACCTATAGGACAACATTGTGATCCCCCTGATAAGCATATAATTATTCCCTCTGTTGGGGTATACTAATTTCCGGTTGTGTAATATGTGGTATAATTTGAATATTATGTATTAAGGGGAGATATAGGACCATATTGTAATACACTATATTAACTTTGAGTTTCCTCATTTTAACTCTACTCCCCGTATTATATTCCCGGTAATATAATAGGTGTTTTAATTTGAATATTATGTGTCAATATTAAGGGGAGATATAGAGATATGATGTAATTCAAAATAGTGACTTTGAATTTCCTCATTTTAACGTTATTATATGTATACATACATAGTAATCTATAGGGGAACTTGCAGGGCCCCCTATTAGGTGTATAATAATTTCCTCCCTATGGTTCACTGAAAATATAATGCGTAGTCCAATTGAATATCATGGGTCCATATTAATGGGAGATAAAGTGCCAAGTTTTAATACAAAATACCTCGTTCCTCAAATTTCCTCATTGTTTGACTCTTTTTTGATAATAACTAACACACTCGACACAGCTCACATACTAATTCTGGTCAAAAATATAGTATTCATACATTTTCTTGGTACTTCTTATAGCATTAAAAAATAACATTTTAAAATTTTTCAATGGTGGTCGTCATTGTATCATTATTGTTTCCTAATTTTAATTTTTACCGTCAAATAAGAGAAAGCATTTAGTTACATAGTGTTCGATAACATTAGTTATTAATTGGGATGCCTAATTTTAATATCTATTTATAATAACAATATTTTTGTTATGTTGTTGTTAATTTACGTCGCACTAGAGCTGCGGAATGGGCAATTGGCGACGGTCTGGGAAACATCCCTGAGGATGATCCGAAGACATGCCATCACAATTTTGATCCTCTGCAGAGGGGATGGCACCCCTTCTTCGGTAGCCAGACGACCTGCATGCGAAGTCGAGC